GTTATCACTGGTTTTGGTTCTTGTCTTTCTGGGTTTCTGGTTCTTTGCTTAGGTTGTTCTTTTCTTTCTGTTGTTGTTTTCCTTTGTTTATTGCCCATGTCGGGTATCCGCAGGTCTTTAAAGCGTGTTGCTAACATCGGAGATTTTGATGCAGTCCGATATAATCCGATACAGTGCTTTTGGGCCGACATCCAATACATCCCTATTTATTGGACTTTCACCTGCAGTCCAAAAATCTCCCTGCAGCCTCCTGAAGGAGAGCTAAGGCACTGTGACTCACTAGGACAGAGTCACAGCGGTCCAGGTTGTGACCTCATCGTTTCTCAGAGTGGTTTAACTTTAGCCCAGCGCCTTAGGCGATAAAAGCAAGATGCTACAACTGCGTTTCTCCACAATGGATGCAACTAAAGCCGTAGTAAAGAAACCTGATGTTAAACCAGTAAAGCTGAGAAACATAGTAAATATGTCTGAAGGCAACAAAGTGCCACTTTAAAGGTTACCTTCATATCTTTGGTAAAGTAAAGAATACATCAGTTGCTAAAATGAGCAGGAACATCAAAAGTGTAAGTGCTGCTGCTATGGAAACCATTCAACTTGTGCTTTTGAACAGGAGGACCCAGTAAGATCTAAGTGAGGGTTTGATGCAGGAGGAAACAACAAAGGAGAATATAAATGAACCAGAATCAGTAAAAATCATTCAAGTGAGTTAATGGAAGGGTGATACATAATTTAGCTTGGCAAATTAAATAACTTCTAAATTTAACATCAGTCTCAAAGTTGAGCCAGAGTCATTCTTTTCATCGAGTTTTGCCACCAAGAAACAGGAAAGCACTTTTGATTCTAGGCTGTGGTCTCCTCTGGCTCATGGGACCCTGGCAGGCGCGTCGTCTTCGTGTGGATCAGAGGAGCCTCGCCAAGGGGGGCAATCGTGCAGAGCTGCCTTTCCTCTGGTCGGTTGTCTCCCACTTAGGACTTCAGACTGTTTTGATTAGATGAGAAGAGCAACGAGTTTTCTGTGTTAACTTTTGAGAACCAGAGCTTTTGTGTTAATTCTGGGTATCATTGGGGCAAAGACCCTTTCTGTTCTATCATTTGCTTTTGCCTCTAGAATAAGAAACAAACAAAAAAAGATAAGAGAAAATAAAACCTTTGTTAATTATCATTTGTGTCACGCGTCCTCCATCTTACCCCAGGCCCCCCTGGACACCTGGGTTGTAACACCAGAAGGCACACGCGTCCGTTAGTTTTCCCAGCACCAGGGACAGTAACGACAAACTTGAGTGTTGCTTTAACGACGCTGCATGGGGACAGTTATTAATCATTCATATAAAAGTGTTTACCTGTTTGAGTTCTGCAGATCATCAGGTGTTGGTTCTGTCATGGCCAGTGTTGGGAGTAACGCCGTTTAAGTATAACAGCGTTTCTAACGGCGTTCTTTTATAGGTAACGGAATAATCTAATTAATTACTTTTCCCGCCGTTGCAACGCCGTTACCGTTACTGGGGACGGAAGGTTGTGCGTTACTATGTGCTTGTCGAACGTTGAGCAGCAGCGTGAGGCTTTCTGACCGCCACACTTCAGCTGCAGCCAGGGAGAGAGAGGTGTCGGTAACGCACTTACAAACACGATGATGATTGGCCGGGTGGGCGGAGACCCGCTGTTTAAAATAACCGCGTTAATAAAAAACATTTCTTTCAGTAACGAGCAAACTAATTAATTACGTCTTCTTTTAACAAAACGTCGTTTCTGTTACTGATAAGGAAATGCGTCCGTTAAGCAGCGTGGTGTGTTGAAGCTGTCATCAGCTGATCAGGAGCTAAAGAGGTAGATGTTTTCATCCAAGAGCATCACGGCCGTGAAGAACGAGGAAGACGTGATGAATAGTCTACGGCTGCAGGTGTGGGTCTGCAGCCGTGGCCTTCTTAGCGTGACAGCGGGACGTCCCGAAGGTCCGCTCACCTGTTCACCGCTCAGACGTCCTGATCTTCTACCTTCCTAGATCATCCAGCTGTAATCTGTTCCTGATCATGTCTTTAGTCCCGCTGTAACACTGATGCATCAGTCTCACACATCATGGAGCTCAGGTGTTATCAGAACTACCTGTGTGTGTTTACCACCCAGCTTCAGCTCTTCTGTGGTTGGGTCTGACCCACGTTAGTAAATGTAAGTCCTCCATCAGGCTTGTGCCTCTTCTAGAGTCATTTTAAAGGATTTTATTTATTTATTAATTTAACCGTTACTAGATTAGCAGCAACAGAAATGCTGCTAAAAACACACAATTATGTGAAGCTGGAAAAATTAGAATACTGTGCAAAATTACATTTATTTCTGTAATTTAACTAGACTGAGAGACCATTTAAAGTCTCAGGAACCTTTACAGTGTTTCTATTTGCAATTTTAAATGTTATCTGATTGGGGTCTTGTTAAATATCACACAGTGACCTTTTAATGGTCTAGATTAGTGTAATGCTCCTATTAGTAGTTCCTCCTGTTAAGTACTTATTTATTTAAATTATTCAGGTTTATAAAAAAACATTTGGACATACATTTTATTATGTTCCAGTCATTAGTCATTTATATTTTACTATTGTAGTAATTCTTGCATTCTTTAATGAAAAAAGTAACTAAGTAGTTATTTTTGTTGGTAATTAGTTACTTTTATGATCTTGTAACTCAGTTAGTAACTGAGTTACTTT